CAATAATAATAATAACATAGAACTCATAACTATTTAAAAAAAAAAGAGAGAAAAATATTATTCCCACCATGCTCTCTTCTTCAAACCTCACAAAAGTGCAATACCATTACCATTAATCAAAATCTCATGGTAAAAATAGAAATATAAAATCTCATAAAAAAAAAAAAAAAGAAATTTGCAGACATAGCTCCCAATTCTTATGCATATTATCTTACACCCAAATTTTAATTTATACATCGAAAATACCTATGAAAATGGTTCTATAATCCGCCTTCTCATACATTTTTTCATCCATAAGAAAAAATGCTTAGCTTGTAAAAATTAAAATTTGAGCATGAGATAATTAAATGCATAAGAATGTGACCTTATAGATGTAAATTTCCACCCCCTCCCCTCCCACTCACATGGATGTACCACTCTTCCCATCTCCCCCAAGCTCCTCACTTTCACCACGACCACCACCACCACCTCCTCCGCTGCACCCAACCACATCCCCATCCGAATTATTCGTCGCCGAAGAAGAGTTCGCCGGCGCCGCCCCTCCTCCACCACCCGCAACCCCATTACCTTTGTGATTATGCATCCACACCCTAAACACGTGACGACTAACTCCAATCTCTGCACAAAATTTCTCAACCTCTATCTCCTCCTCCGCATCCGACCTCCTCGGCATTAGCCACCCCAGCCTATCCGCAAAGCTCCTCATTTGAGCCTTCTGTTCGCCCGTGAACTTAGTCCTGAACCTCCGCCGGCCGTCGGAGCGGTTATCCGAAACAGCCATGGCAGCGGTTTCCGACGGATAGTAAGAGGAGTAACCAGAGACATCGAGGAGCTTGCGATGGAAGTTACGGTGACAGCCGCATGCGGAGCAGAAATGGGTGGCCGAGATTGAACCCTCGTCGGCGGAGAACTCGCCGCAGCCGTCGGACGCGTAGGCGCCGAGAGCAGCGGCGTGGTTTCGCATGCACTCGCCGTAGAGTTTCCGGCCGGATCTCAGTTCTTCCATTGTAGATTGATGAGCTGGTTTTTTGAGCTGTTATGAGACTTGGATTCATTAATGTTTGGACGTGTGGAAGCTTATATAGGCTGCTGGGCAGTTAAGGGCATGATTACTGTATTTGCTTGCGTTTTTGGTGGGATGAAGAAATTAAAAAAATAAGAAGTCCTGATAGATTTGAGTTTGGGGTTAAAATAATATTATGATATTTTTGTAAGAAAATGTTAAGATTTGGGACGTACTTTATGTTGATAATTTGTTTAGTTCAAGATAGCGTTTTAATGCAGTATTTCTGATGCGATTAAAGTTTTAGTCTTTTTAATTCTATATGTATTTATAAAATGTGTGAGAACAAAAAGCATCAATACTATATATATATATATATATATATGCTGCGCGCGCTCTAAGTGGTTGAGTAATGGATTATCGTCTTAACGTTACATGGGAATTCAAGACACACTCAAATAGAAGAAAACAATCGGTAGTGACACCAGAAGTTTTTATGTGGAAAATCTGTAAAGGAAAAAAATACACGAGATCTGACTTAGATGTAAAAATTCACTATAAGTTGATGAATACATAGACCTCTTGTACAAAATTTTTTGAATTACAACGTCGACGTGTGAATGAACTTGTAGTAAGAAGTTGGTGACAACTAATGGTGATCAATGGAGGTCGGCAATGGCCAACGGTGGTCAACAGTAGTGTGTGATGATCGATGACGTTCAGCGGTGTTCAATGATGGCTGGCAACAATCGATGTTGGTAAGAGTGGTTCTTGACTTCAGCTCCTTCTCAAAGTTTCAAGCTCTTTCTTAAGTCTCAAGCTCTAGAATTTTTTTAATACGGAGTGCGAAAGCAGCTCTGCTGGCAGACTCCAAAAATATGTCGTCACATGTCCTACACCGGGCCCATCTCATAAACACCTCGTTGTGAACCGCAACCTTTGTGATTTCACTTCAATAATCCCCGCAGAACAACTCCAATAAGTCCCAAATAACGTTGCAATAACACTTAAATTTTTGAAGCAGTTATTGGATGAGTTATTGCGGTGTTATTGAAGCGATTAATGGAATTATTACGCGGGATTATTGAAGTGAAACTATGGAGGTTATTGGAGCAATTCATCGCGCGATGCTTATGAGATAAGTCTGATATAACACACGTGCTGGTATATTATTAGAGTCTGCGCGTGCATGCTGAGTTGAGTCCCCACTCTAAAAATTTTTCCTACCCGCCACAAAAAAAAAAAAATTATGAAAATCCATTCCCAAATGCCATTTTCTACATTTTTCTTATAAAGGAAGAAGTGGGTCCAATGATTTCTGACAATTGTTTGACTTTTTCCTTTCTTTTTGGATCATTTACATGCATACCACTCAACTCTTATATATTTACATATCAAATGAAATTATATTTGTTACATTAGAGAAACACATTTTCTTGCATAAATATAAGTTGGACATATTCATTGGAACTAAAATTTAAGTGTCAAATATATAATTTTTTGTAGAATAATATTTTTCTTGTTAAAAATGAAATATGCCAACAACAAAGTGAAATAAAATAAAGAAAGTATGAAAAATGAATTTTTCTTTGATAATTTCAACAACACTATTACTATTATTATGGGTTTTGTTGTTTTTTTTTTATTATTTTTATTTTAAAATTAGCTTTATATCTTTTTTTCAAAATATTAGAAACATGCAACATTTAAAAATATGATATACATACTTTATGCATTATTCTCTTACATTTAAATTATATGTATGTATGTATGTATATATGTATGTATGTATGTATGTATGTATGTTAATTTTAAATTTTGGAATAATTTAAAAAAAGGAATATATTTTGTTTAATATTTACTTAATTCTCATATGCCACAAGAATACATATTTAAAAATCAACTGGAAGAGTTAGAAATCAGAATGTTACGTATGGACTCCAGTCTTCGTGTACAGCTGTGTTGTACACTGATGTATAACATGTGTACAACTCTTTTGTACACGAAGTTTGCATGCATACGGATCATTTACTAGTAAAAATTCTGGGGACTCCAAATACTTTTTATAGCATTTAGATAGATGTCACACTGTTCTTATGTATTTACATATGTAACACCTAATTATTCTTATTTACATGCATACCACTCAAATTTTAGCATCACATCAAAAATATCATAATCGTTATCTTTTTTAAAAGTGAAATACCTATTGTCGGCCATAGGTTTACGACACCAAAATTTTATAAGCGTAAATGTGAAATCTCACGTGTTCAATATGTAAATACATAATAATTGTGTCGTATGTATGTATATTTCTCTATTATTATTTTGGAGTTGAGAGTAATAAGAACTTACATCTTGTATTAAATATTATGTTTGGTTTCGATCGAGTGGGTTTGATGGGCTCGACTCAGATTAGCTCCACCTTCTTAAACATTGTGAATTTACCTTTGTCTACTGCAATCCTTCATCTCTAATCCATGCACTTCACTTTATTGCTTCATAAAAATCTTATTACAATGTTTTAGTCATATTTTATGTTATGTAGAGGGACAAGAGGTTATGAACTCAATATTCTCTTGATGATAATATTTAATGGAAGAAGTGTCTCAAGTAAGAACTTTCTCCCCCTCTTCTCTATCGGTACATCAATCAATACTTTGTTAGCATGATCAATTATTTTAATGCGCTAAAATTATATCCCCAGGAATCAACATAATGATCTCACCCAAGTCAACATGGGTGCAAACGTGCTAGCCCAAAAGCTATGAACTCGACATAATTAGAACTAAACTCTCTCAGCTCAAGATGAGCTCGTGTTATTGACATAGCTTAAGCATAGTTAACCAAGCTAGGCAAGACCAAAGAATTTTCAATAAGTCTAGCCATAAGTTTGCATTTTGATCAATCAGTCAACACATCTCATGCATTTTACAACTAGTAAACAACATCTTTTTATGTGTGTTTTTAATTCATTAACTCAATATGCACCCTATCCTATAAATGGTGGGTTGGGAAGGATAAAATATTACATCCGGACATCCAATCACGGGAAGTCATGTCAGCGCAAATTCACTTATATATTGAGACATGGCCTCTCGTGATTGAACGTGCAAACATAATATTAAGTGAAATCGCCATAATGTTATGCTCATAATTCCATCTTCAAACTTCTCTATTATTTCCCCTTCTCCGAGACCAAGTAAAGTTTCGGTGCAACCAACGAATAATTTAAGATTCATTAGAATCTATCAAATTGCTAAGACTAATGAAGAGCCATTTTAATAATCAGGACAACATTAATCAATAATAACATGATTTGAATTCACACTCATTGCGCCATCATACACTGATGAACAGCAAAGGAAACTTCCACAGTCAGTGTAGGAAGGAAGATGGAATTTTGTATACTTTAATTTTCTTTTCAGTCAACCAATCTGAAAACCATCCACGTCCAATGCTCCTAATCTAATCCACATAAAATAAACCCTAACTAACCTCAGTTTAACTAGTTCTTAATCCTTTTTTAATTCAGAAATGAATCTAATCATGCGTGTGCCTTTATGAAGCTTCTCTTAATTACTCCTAGCTCTTGGGCATGCATAAATTAACAATGTTAGATAGAGATAGAGAGAGAGAGAGAGAGAGAGAGAGATAGAGAGAGAGAGAAGGCTGGCTTCACTGGCTAGATTAATATGGGGAACGCAGCCAAATATGCTTATGAAATTAATTGTTAATTAGTGAATAGAAAGATGAACGTGCAAAAGAGTATCTTTAAAGATATAGAGAAAGTTTGTCTGCGGCTCGTTACATTGTACCGAGCATTATTGATAGAATATATGTGTGTGAATTAGTTGGGGATCAAATTGCTAAATCATGGGCGTGAATAATTAAAAGAAAAAATTAAGCTTTGTTAATATAATTTTAAGTTAATTAAGCTTTATTAGCAAATGGTTAATTATATTGCGTTAGCTTTCAATCTTTGTCGGTAGAAAGCCAATGGTGCTAATTTTGAATAAATAAATAAATAAATGAAATTTATAATGTAATTAAGCTCTGTTACACTACTTCTGTGTCAGCAGCCATGGACTAATTGGATGGCTAATATCGGCTTATTTTTATTAAAATGTATGCACTTCATGAAGCATGCGAGAGGTTGGTTGATTTATTCAAAATTTTTATTTTTTTATTAAGATTATTTACTCTTACACCTTAAAAACATTCATAGTTAGTAATAAAACGGTACTAATTATTTATAATTAGTAATATATCAGTTTAAACATCTAATTTTTACTGATTTAATCACTCTAACAATCTCTATTTATATAAAAGTGTAAGTGCGAATCCTTTTTAAGATATAAAGTCATGTATTATCTGTGAGTTCATATAATGAAGTAGAAATAAGTTGAGGATCAACGAGTGTGCGGGTTGTTCTTGATGGTGATGAGAAAGGGAATAGAGAGAGAGAGGGAGAGAGGGCTTGAGGACATTCCCTTATTTACTTCATATCTATTCCTCTTAGGATATACTTGTTGTCTACGAGTGTAGCTAGTATGTGCAGCTGATCCGATGTCTGGTGGACGGACTCGATTCATTAGGCCCAAAAAGGCCCACTTAATCATCAAGGCTTAAATGTTAGTTTGAAGATTTATTTTTCGCTATACAATAAGAACGTAATTCAACAAAAAAAAAATTAAGGTTTTGAGGATAATGAAGGCATTATGGATATGCATTTGACTTTTGCTTCAGCAATAGAGAGCCATATGCACTTTATATGGTGATAGATAATAATCATAAAATACTTTAAAATTAGAATTAACATACTATTTTGATTGAATGGGTGAAATCCAAACATCTAAAAATATTATTTCAAAAGATTAAAAATTGAAATAAAATAATAGTAATTAAAAATAAATTTTAATTGATAAAGTGGTTATATTACAATAATTAATATTGTGAGCTATTTTATGCAAATTAGATTTTTATGATAAGATTTATATAGC